ATATTCAGATATATTAATTACTTTTGCATGCCCCTGCTTAATATAATCATTTATAAATAATTTGTATTTTTCAAACAAAACTGGATCTTTAGAAAACCTTTTTTCTAAATTATAAAATCTTTGCAATGCACAAGATAAAGAATCACCTAAATTAATTTCCTCTGCAGGCAATTTAAATGGCAAGGAGACTTCAAATTTATTATTATTTAATTTACAAGTTTCATTAAAATATTTCTCCGCCAATTCCTGTTCAGAAGTTGATTCAAAAAAGGTTTCATTGACATTTTCACATTGCCAAAATTGTTTTAACTGTTGATGAATAGAGTCTTTACAGTAACCACATGGCTCTTTCTTTTCAGTAATATTAGACTTATAATTTAAATTAACAAAATTACAATATAATTCATCTTGCCTCGGTGTCTTACCCACAACAGCTCCTCCCACTACATAACCTAATTTGGTATTTATTAGGTATGGGCCGCTAGGTGACAGCGGTATGCGCTCCCTCAGCAACACCTTAAAAAATACATCACAAGCTAAAAGCATTTGTACCTGTGCTGGTGAATGAAAACTTGTATCAGCAAGTTGCACATAAGGTGGAATATTCATGTGGGATATGTCTATGTTATGATGAGGCAAGGTGCATGAAATCTTCTCCACAACAGAGCAAGTGACAGGCAAAGCAAAGTTAGACTTGGTGCAAGCATGTATTTTAAAGTGAGCGAGTGCATTTAAATTATTTGTGCCTTCACAAACACCCACTACTGTATGCGACTCAAAAGTAGTCAAGCATTTTATTTGGTTAGCCACTTCTTTAGTGACCATAGAAACCTCACTTCCAGAATCTAAGACTGCCCGCACAAACATAAAAGAACCATCCTGTTTACACAATTTTACTATAGCAGTTGGTAAGAGAACACTTTTATTTTTAATACTATTGAAAAGTGATACCTTTTTATTTTCAGCAGTTTCAGGATAATGAGCTGTTGAATTAATATTATCAATATGCAACAAAGTATTATGATCACCCTTGCATTTAGCACAACGAAAGCCAAAATAGCATTTTTTTGTATGGTTATTTAAACACAGTTTACACCTATTTGTTCTTTCTATGAACTGTATTCTCTGTTTGACAGAGCTAGTTTTAAATTTCCCACAATTATAAATTTTATGAGAATCTGACTGACAATACTCACATGATGATTTATTTGTAAGCAAGCTTACACGTTGAGGTCTGCTAGCTGTAGCTCCAGACATCCTTTCTTGCCCTGTAGTGGCCTCTAAAGCAATAGCCTTATTTTCTAAAAATAATATTAAATCAGATAATTTATATGGCTTATCCCTATTTATCTGTTCCATATAAAAAGATCGTACTGTGTACTGGTCTATTTTTTTTGTTAATATACATATTAAAACCATGTCCCAACTGGAAACAGGCTGGTCTAAACTCTCTAGTGCACTCAAATTCTGTTTGACATCAGCAATTAAGTTTCTTAACGCTAGAGCTGTACATTTTGTAATTGGCACTATATCTAATAATTTATTTACATGATCAATAACAATTTTATTTTTATTGTCATATCGTTCTACAATCAGGTTCAATGACCTTTCATAATTCTCATCTAAGAGCGGTAAATTTTTAATAATATCTAGAGGCTCACCTCTGAGAAAACTACGTAAGTAATACAACTTTTGTGTATTATTTAGACTTGCATTTTTGTCGATAAGCGACCTAAATAAATTTAAAAACGGATAAAATTCTTCACTTTTACCTGTGAAGGTTTGAATTTCAATTTTAGGTAAATTGACGTGGTGCTCGTTGCTTACTGATGGTGATGATGACAATGCAGACTGATTACTATTTAACGTTGTTAACGCAGATTGCAAGTTAGACAATGCAAGTAAATATTTGTCTTCATAATCATCGAAATCTGCATCGCCTCGTTTTTGAGATAACGTTTTAAAATGGTTATCAGTATATTTTTCGAACGTATTTTTTAAGTAACTAATTTTTATTTCTAATAAACTGGATGTTACCTTTTCTCCAATGTTAGATGCAAAATTATAAATTTTAGTTATCGAAGCCTTTAGTTGACTTCGAGCAGCCACCAATTCCTCTATGTTATCCATTCTTAAAACTATATACAACTACACAAATCCAATATTTATACAAATTTAAGAGTTTCTACAAAAGAAATTTTCACAAAAATGGCTTCTTTTTGTTAGTCACACAACACAGCACAGAAAAATGGCGCGACGACGCTACACCGGCTTGACGTTCTGTTCCGGACGAGAAGACTTGCGCAGTGCAGCAAACGTCCACAGCGCAAGCGCGAAAACGTGTTTCGCCCAATCAGCGCACACAGCCGCTGACGCACTTTGTTGTACCAGCCAATAGCCAAGCTCGACGCCGACTAACTTGGAAATGGCTCCCCGCGAACAAACTTTTAAAGGACGCGGCGCCAACTCAAAATGGCGATGATGGAACCAATTTATTTCTTCACTAGTGAAGCAATATCTTCTTTGTTTTTGCCCAATGATGGACCATTTATTGTATTCCAAACGAAGTACTATTTCTTATGTTCCAAACGAAGGACCATTTCTTATGTTGTGTGCGACGCTCAATGTTAATTTATTATCATCCATAGGTCGTTTCTTGAGTCCACTAATTATAAAATAAAAACATCGCACTTGTAAACATAAGAAAGAATTTATTATTTACACACCTTGTGTTACATTAGATTAATTTATAATTTGTAATATTTAGCCTTTAAGACTACTTAATAATAATTAATTTAATATTTGTGGCTATAGCCCACACGCGTCTCAAAATCAAGAAGTTCGAGAAGACCGCCAAAAACGGCAACTTTTTAAATCAATTTTTTGCTATGCAAAAGAATTTGTGTTCATTCCGCATTGAACATCGCTGTTCACCAAAGTTCCAGTTAAGGACAAAACTTAGACAAAACGATATACCGGAAGGGTACATGGTTCTATTACGGAACTGTTTAGATGGCAGCTATCTTCTATATCGCGGCAAACATTACCTTCAAATTGATGGTGTCGCCATGGGTAGCCCCGTAGCGCCACTTTTGGCCAATATATGGATGGAACATGTCGAGTCATTGATAGATTACCAGTCACATGGGATCCGTATGTGGAAACGGTATGTAGACGATGTGTTCTGTATCCTGAAGGGCGACAAACCGGAGATTGAGCAGTTCCTTTCACACGTCAATAATATCCATCCGAATCTCAAGTTCACCTATGAGTTAGAGAGTGACAAAACCTTACCCTTTCTGGACGTTAAAGTCATGGCGAAAGCTGATGGGTCCCTGAAACACACTGTCTACAGGAAACCAACACACACAGACAAGTACCTCCACGCTTCATCTCATCATCATCCTCAACACCTACGTTCTGTGGAGACAACTCTTATTAACAGGGCTAACGCATTATGTAATACCGACTTCTTAGCAGATGAGTTGTCCCATGTACAGGACGTGCTAAGGAAAAATGGATACAGCGCAAGGAGGTCATACCCTATCCGAAGGTGTAAGGAAAGACTACCTAAGGTTCCCAGGCAACGGGCATTTTTAGGCTATGTTAAGGGAGTAACGGACAAAATCGGTTCCATTTTGAGGAAAAAATTTTCTATAGACACCATTTTTACTCCTTTATCAAAAATGTCACACCAATTGCGATCACCAAAGGATAGTATTCCTTACCAAAAACCTGGCGTTTATAAAATTGACTGCAGCTGCGGTAGTTCATATATCGGACAAACGAAGCGGACTATCGCCGAACGTGTAAGAGAACACATAGCAGCGGTCAAAAATCGTCAAGTGGAGAAGTCCGCGATTGCAGAGCACTTATTATCATCTGGATCAAACCACTGGATCGAGTTACATACACCTCATGTCCTTTCCACTGAACGACATTACTATCCAAGGATTGTTCGTGAAGCGGTTGAAATCAAAAAACACAACAATTTCAACCGGGAAAGTGGATATAAACTCTCACCAACGTGGAATCCGGTTATAAAAATGTATAAGTGTCGCGATCGCAAACAACCACGAACAATATTCTCGGATACCGTAAGTGCAGTGTGTCGCCACCTTTACGTATAATAAAATCAAGTGGAGGGTACATCTGAAAATCAGTTAAAAACATTATTACCGGATTACCCTCAACTAAAATCAGAAGACGACACCCGCCAGTTCTCCAGTCTCCTCGTGACCACGGCTGCTGTAACGTAGCCGAAACGTCGAGGTAAATTAATTGTTTTAAAAAATGCACGAATAAGGCCCGATTGCATATATGTAATTATAATGTATACAAATCGTGTGAGTTTAAAAATATTATTATACTTATGATTATTTTTAAAATGAAAATTAGTGACGAATGTGAATTTAAATGAAATTTTATGAATGTAAGATATTGAGGAAAGTGAAGATATAGAAGATTTTATTTGAAGCATTTAGTATTTACAATGAAATTTTAATTTTAATTTGCTACACCCTTACAGGGTGTCACATAAACTGTACCTAATAATAACACCTGTTTTACTATGTGACATGCAATAAATGAATTATTATTATTAAGCAACTTTCTCAATGGCCGGCCATGAGATGGGTGACCAAAAGTTTAATATATCAATCTCCGTGCTTCGGAAGACACGTTAATTCGTTGGTCCCAGCTACAAATGCACTCGTTGACATCAACCCACACTGGCCCCGCGTGTTATATAGCCCATTCTTTCTATCCGATTCGATTCTATCCGTAGCTAAAACCTATGACTCAGTCGTGGGAACATTAAGACTGGTGATAATTAATAATAATTGAGAATATGCATGATTTTGTCTTACTGTTTATATTTTTTATAATTTTAATAAGTTATATACATAATTCAGAACATCAAATTATTATTAATAGATATTTAAATAATACAGATAGCTAAACAATTTATTTATACGAAACATCAGGATCATAATTCATACCTGAGCTTCCAGTTCAGTGGCCCATGCTTCCACCTTATCCTCGTCCAGGAGGGAACCTTCTAAAGGACAGTACCTGAGCACCACCCCGTGGGATTCAGTCTCACATACTTCTATGCTTATCTGTTTGGTGGGAATGAGAAGGATAAACTTATATTTCATAATCTTAAAAAATCGGCCAACTACATGTCTTGCTCTCGCACAAAGGGTTCTGTACTGGAAATGATAAAACAATCACTTTTGTCCCCAAATCAAATCAAAATAGTTAATTCAGTTAAGGCTTTAACAGAGCACTTGTGAAAGTCGAAAACTACGCCATCGGTTCGCAAAATTATGGCGGGAGACCTTGTACTGAGAAGAACCGGCAAGAAATTCAGCGAGAGCTGCTTTTTTCTCCCTATTTTATTTCACACGGAGAAGTCTTAAGGAAAGTGACATTCCATTACAATATCAGAAATAAGAGAGATATATTCGATAAGTGATTAATATACCGATCGCCGATTCATACATACGATTACGACAAACGTGAAATATCCGAACAAAGAAACCCTTACCACGGACTAGGCTGTATGGACTAAATCCCTTTGCCAATAATTAAAAAAATTACGTAACACTTACCATGTCAGCCTCCCTCTGCAACACTTGTCCAAGCCAGGAGTTGAGTTTGTCATAGTAAGGCGGCGGCTTCTCAACGTCCGGCGGCGCGAATTGAAACGCGACGCAAGCCGAAGCTTGACTCACTGCTTCCTGCGTAATAAATAATACGAATAAAGTAAAAAATATATAATTAAAACATTTATTTAATATAATATGTTACTATAATGCTTCGTTAATTTAAATCGAGATACTGTTCCGAGTAAAATAAAGAGATCTCAAAAAAACATTTATTTAATCAGACTTGCAATGTTTATTAAAACAATACTTATGAAAATAGAAATGCCACAAGTTCGTAAATCAACGGCATGAGATCCTGAGCTGAGAAGAACCGGTAAGAAATCAACGACTACTTTTCTTTACTTGTTTTATTTTATACGAAAAATTCGAATAGAAAAATAACTGTGAAATAACTTTCCAATACACAAAAAAAAAACAGGTAATTCATTTGTTACTAGTTTAAAATGCACTGTCTGTTCAAATTCATTATTTTCTTATATAGATGTAAGATTTCCCACGTCCATCAATAGATGACGTTGTGCGATTTGGCATCGCGGTAGTAACTTTATTTCTATTATTTTATATAATTGTTAGCCTTATGAAATACTGATGGTCGCGTTTTTGAACCACGGCGGTGGTAATACAAAGTAGTTCCTAGTATGTGTGTTTTATTGTTTACTAGCGCCCCCTATAGTGAAGTTTTTTGTGTTATACAAAATTTGGTGCCGAAACCCGGGAATAATTAAAAATCTGTGGTAGTGGTGAGTGAAAAATAAGTGAAATTTGGACCTTAAAACTGTAAGTAAAAAGACTTAGAAAATTTAATCAAATATTTGGACTTGTAAAAATTTCAAATAAATTCATGGACTTAGAATAGTTTCGCAAAAAGTGTTCAAACGTGGAATCTATGCCAAAAAAATATTCAAATGTAATAAATTTAAAGACTTAGAATAATTTGTGCAGAAATCGTCTTTGAAATAAACATATTTTTGCTGTATACATTTCGATCATATTTCTAAATAAGTTGCAATAATGGAAGTACAGAAACTGACGATTATACAAGAAGATAGATTTCAAAAATTAGTAAAAGCTGAAATCAATTATAAGAAAAGTCCAAAGGATAGAATTACTTTAGGATATTTAGAAGCGAGATTGGAAACTTTAGATAAGTTGTGGAATGACTTTGAAGAGACACATACAAATATTATTACGTCTGTTAAGGCTGATGAGCGCGGTACTCTAGCCTACTTCAAAAATAGTATTTATGACCAATTCGAAGAAAATTACACCTATTATAAGGGTACTTTGAGAGAAGCGCTTCGAAAAATAAGTTCAACGCTCATTCAATCCAATCTGAATAAAACAACTTCTTGTGATGTCAAATTGCCTAAGATACAATTACCCAATTTTAGCGGTAAATACAGCGAATGGCAGTCGTTTCATGACCTATTTACGTCAGTTGTACACAATAATAACAAAATATCTTCTGTTGAAAAGCTGCATTATCTAAAGAGCGCCTTAACTGGCGAAGCAGAAATCTTAATTCGTAATTTGCCAACAACAGAACTCAACTATGAATCAGCATGGGAAAAGCTCACCACAAGATACAACAACAAACGATACAATTGTAATGCAATTCTTAGAACATTATTTGCACAGAAACAAATTGATGTTGAATCAGCAAATGCTATCAAGGGTTTACTGGACGTAACATCTTCCTGTTTGACTTCATTAAATAATCTCAACATTCCTACAAGTTCATGGGATCCCATTATCATATTCATGGTTGTGTCTAAATTAGACCACGAATCACTACGACAATGGGAACTAAATATTAGCGGAATTCCAACGAATGGGCTTCCCACTTGGAATGATTTAGTTGTATTTCTAGAATCACGATTTCGAACGTTAGAAATGATTGACAGTAATAAACCAATGCAAAGAACTCCTCAGCAAAATTTTAGACGACCAGAAAAGGTAAAATCATTTGCAACTGTACATGATGAAAAAAGTGATATGAAGTCAAAATGTACCATGTGTTCAGGGAATCATTTTCTATATCAATGTAAGAATTTTGGCCAACTTTTACCAAATGCGAGACTAGACTTTGTACAAACAAAGTATTTATGTTTCAATTGTCTTGCGCCCACTCACTCAGTTAAAAATTGTCATCAATCTACGTGCTGCCGCAGATGTGGTAGAAGACACCACTCATTACTGCACGTCGATAAGCAAAACGTTCAAGGGCCCGTAAATAATTCAGAAAATACACACACTACACCAAAACGACCCACAGATGAGGATAAAACTACATCAACCGATCGAGAAGTAAAGATTGCTGCTAATTTTGTCAAAGAAGATGAAACAATTGATCGGCCACATGTTTTGTTGGCGACAGCAGTCGTCAGAGCATATTCACGTAGTGGTCAATCGAACCTACTTCGTGCATTAATTGACCAGGGATCTCAAGGATCTTTTATTTCAGAAGAAATCGTCCAGTTATTAGGTCTTAAGCGTGTGCCAGTAAGTGGTTGCGTGTCAGGTTTGGGAGATGGTCAATTAAAAATCAAATACATGGTGTCTCTCTGTATAGAATCAAAGAGGAATTCAAATGATTCAATTCAGGTTACTGCGTACGTATTAAAATCACTTGTCTCACGAATTCCTTCTACTAAAATTCCATCACCTAATTGGTTAGAACTTGAGAACCTTTCACTAGCCGATTCAGGATTTGCATCACCAGGCAAAATAGATCTTTTGCTTGGAGCTGAAGTTTACTGTCAGATATTGTTAGGTGATATGCGTAAACACCCACAAGGAAATTTACTAGCTCAAAATACAATTTTTGGGTGGGTTATTTCAGGTAGAGTATCACCATCAGCTTTAGCAACGAGACCGTTAGTAAGTTTACATGTTCAAATCAAAGAAGATAATTTACTCAAAAAATTTTGGGAGTTAGAAAATGAACCGAATACAATTAAAAGGAAATTATCCAAAACAGAACAAATATGTGAAGAATTTTATGAAGCTTCAACATTCAGGAACAAAGAAGGAAGATTTGTGGTAAAGCTACCTTTTAATAGTCAAGACCCAGAATGTCAATATGGAAGACTGAAAGATATTGCACAAAGAAGATTTCAGCTGCTCGAAAAAAAGTTTCAAAAAATTCCAAATTTTAAAGAAGAATACTGCAAAGTGATTCAAGAATATTTGGATTTAAATCATATGGTGAAAATCGAAGATGATGCGGTCGATTCAAAGGCAGTCTACCTTCCTCACCATGCTGTAGTAAGGGAAGATAGGGAAACGACTAAATTACGTGTTGTATTTGACGCATCTTGCAAAGGCGTTAACGGTGTATCGCTGAATGACAATCTTCTTGTTGGTCCTAGACTACAAGAGGATTTGAGGCACATTTTAATGCGATGGCGCAAATTTCCAATATGTATTGTAGCAGATGTCGTAAAGATGTATCGACAAGTGCGAGTAAATCAAGAAGACACACGTTTTCAGAGGATAATTTGGAGAGCGAACCCTGAGGAACCCTTTGGTCATTATGAGTTACTCACACTTACTTTTGGCACTGCCTGTGCACCTCATTTGGCCGTGAAATCACTGCAACAGTTAGCGGATGAAGAAAAATACAATTACCCTATTGCAGCAGAAATTGCAAAGCGTGATTATTTTGTTGACGACCTTATGACTTGCTGTCTCACGGAGGAAGAGGCTATTGAAATCTACAATCAAATGAATAATATGCTAAAATCCGGTGGGTTTCAGTTGCAAAAGTGGAGTAGTAATAGTAAAAAATTACTACAATTTATTGATCAAAATAATCAAAATGATTCTCATTCAATAAACATTAGGACAGATAATATGGTCAAAGTTCTCGGTATTTGTTGGAATAGAAATACCGATGAGTTTCAATACACAGTGGATTTACCTGCGTTAAGCCAGACACCTACGAAGCGAAAAGTGTTATCAGATGTAGCTAGACTTTATGATCCTATGGGCTGGATTGCGCCAGTTGTGGTCTTGGCCAAAGTACTTATCCAGAGATTGTGGAAGTTAGGGTTGCCGTGGGATGATGAATTGCCACAAGAAGGTTTTGAATGACTGGCTTAAATACAGATCAGATTTAATGCAAGTGAAAAATATCTTAATTCCAAGATGGATTCATTTTATTAATGATTGTGAAATCGAACTGCATGCATTTGCGGACGCTTCCCAATTAGCTTATGCAGCAGTAGTTTACTCAAGAGTGATAAATAAAAATGGTGACGTTTACATAAACCTTATAACTGCAAAAACTAAAGTTGCGCCAATAGAGAAGGAACTTTCGATTCCCAGATTAGAACTTTGTGGCGTAGTTTTGGCAACAAAATTATTGTATGAAGTTTCGCAAGTTATGAAAGTGCCAAAAGAAAGACTTTTTGCATGGTCAGACTCAACTGTTGTGTTGGCGTGGTTACGTGGATTGCCATCACGATGGACCACCTTTGTTAGCAATCGTGTATCTGATATTCTAAATATTTTAGATAGCGATCAAATCAGACATGTAAGCACAAAAATGAATCCCGCTGACTGTGCTTCTCGAGGTTTACAACCGTCAGCCTTAAAGAAAGAAAACCTTTGGTGGAAAGGGCCTGCATGGCTTCATCAACATACTTTTGATTTACCCACATTACAGTACAATACCGAAGAAGAAATGAGGACAAGCAAATCGTCGGGAATCATGACTTTTTTTACGGAAAAGAAAAGTGACATAAACAAACGGATATTAGAAAAGGAAAAGGAATTTATATGGAGCAAATATTCATCACTGAGAAAGATGTTAGGAATTGTGTCATATGTTAGAAGATGGTTAAATGTAAAAACAAAAGTTTCATCAGATAAAGAAAAGTATCCAAATTTTATTACTGTGAAGGAAATAAATGAATCTTTGGAAGTATGTATTAAACAAGTTCAAGATTTGAATTTTAGAGAAGAAATTAAACAACTAAAATTATACGGAAGTGTAACTAAGAAATGTGCACTGTATTCTCTCTATCCCTTTTTAGATGCAAAAGGGCTTCTGAGAGTGGGTGGCCGCATCGAAATGGCAAATATAAGTTACGATGAAAAACATCCGTTAATAATGCCTGAAATAAGTCATCTTACCCAAAGCGTTATTGATGACGCACATAAATCGACAATGCACGGCGGCCCTCAAGCTATGCTTGTTTACCTAAGAAACCGATTTTGGATAATACGCGCTAGACAGCAAGTTAAAAAATACTTTCGACGTTG